TGTATATTTATATCCATATATTATATATTTATATCCATTTTTGAAAAAAAATTTACCTTTTTTTTGACAAAAAAAATTCTAAAAATTAAAATATTTATTTACATAACTTAGTGCACCGTTTGGAGGCTTTTGGCAGCAAAAAAAATGGATGCGCTAAAATCACTTTTTACTAACGCGCCCTACAGACTGGGTCGTTTTCGCCGAGCGCTCAACTTCCTTCGGCTGTAGCTCAGAGACTAACTGACGAAAGACGGCTGGGCTTCGCCTGTAGGTTCCTACCGACACTAAGTTTTTTTAGGGAGGGGAGCCGACCCTCTCCCGTTCTTGGTTTTCCGGGAATTCTCGAATGAAATTTCGCTCGGGTCGTTTTCGTCCCAGTCCGTATGCGCAGGGTTAAGTAGATCAAGAAATTTATTACTCGAAATTGAATGATAGTGTATTTACGAAAATTTTCACGTTATCCACGTGGTTGACGTGGCACTCAAAGTGTTAAAGTATACTAATGAACTTGTAAGTAATCTCTAAATAACATCCGTAATATCTGACGTCGTATGTAAAGATATCGTGTACTTTATAAAGTAAGTGACATACTTGTAGACACATGTCGATATTAGGGTAACAAGTTTAAAATAGAAGTCTATACTATATTCTGTATAATAATCTTATAATCTTTTTCTATGTATATTAATTAATATCTTATCTAAGTTAATGTATTTCTTCAATACATTGCCTCATACGTATGTACATGCGGACACCATTTCTACCGGTGCGTGTACAAAATGTCATCTTCCAATACAAATATAAATATATAATATCAGGAGAAATTAAACATTAGTACGTAGTCCAACTGGATATCAATCGCAATATAAGAAGTTCTGTTACAATTTCTCTAAAACACTATCGACATTATTAATCTAAATAAATAGCCATTATCAATATAACGTATCAGGTAACATGTATAAAATCATTTCATAACATTACTAAAAATAAAAAAGTTTTTCTCACTAGCATTACCGTACTTATATCTTTTTAAAAGAAACGTTCACATACGATAAATGATAATATGCTCGTACTGTGTGGTGACTTGTCAAATGTGATACATGATACAAATATTGGAGACAAAATTTTAAGTACACTTAAATCAGTACCACAGTTTATCGGCCAGGTAATGCTTAATGATAAATTCCTTTTCTTACGTACAGAGCAAAAAGATCTTTATTAATAAGGACATAATCCCACCAGATGTATTATGTCTTTTAATAAAGGAAATTTCTCTATTATGAAATAGGATTCTACCTAATATGAGATAATGGGTTTTCAATGTCCAAATTCAATCACAAATCTTTTTTGCAACAATTACACGATCTAACAATCAATTTTCCACTAAACAGAATTCACTCCAAGTTATATTGAAACCACATTACACACGTTTCCAATAGTTGTTGTATATTTGTAGTTGATATATTAATATCAGTTATCCAAAAGCGATAATATATTAAAAAACGGATTGATGTAATACAGCCCAAGATTTCACTGTTTTATTTCCATTTGACTCTCTCGAATTGGTGTGCCGTAACTGTTTAATGTTTTGATAAACCTTATTGTTTCCGACTTGAAGATACACTAAACGATTGTGCATCGTTATTTATCATTATACGTTTATTTTTTGTGTTAAACAGACGTTGCCAGTTATGGTTGATTGTAAGCTTAATTAATATTATACGTTTAGCTCGACAAACACGAAATATACATTTAATCAGTGTAAGAATTTCTTGACTCTAATTATCGCATTTCATTAATTCATTAATAATATCAATTATTCGCTGAATACCTCTGGGCCACACGGTAAGTTGAAACTAGTTTCAACTAGTTTCAAAAATTTCTTAGTTTTCTCTCTCTCTCTCTCTCTCTCTCTCTCTCTCGCCCTCTCTCTCTCCCTCTCTCTCTCGTACTTATAGACAACTCCTGTTACTTACAACAACTTTACAAACTACGATCATATCAAGAAAGAAACATCCAAAGTGAAAAATATCTAAACATTGAAGAACAACCGCCGTCAGGCCCAGAAATTATTCGTTAACTTGGTGCTAAAGATAACTCAAATCAAAGTCAAAACGTTCACCGTTGTACCGTTCTAGAATCACATTATGTATAAAGTAAAAAAGTAAAAAAAAACACAATCTGTATAAAGATGTGACGTAACTATTATATTAAATTGACTCACGCACACTGACAACCGCGTAATACTTTCATAACTCGATTACTCCTTTGCATTTTACAGTAATATTCCATTCTCTTTGAAATTAAAGGAGATTTATTCGCGCAAAGTGCTGTTTTAAGTTTCATCAGGTAACAGTGAGTTATTCAGCTAGTTAGCAGCCTTTATATGTAAAACAATCATTAAATATTTTAAAATAATAACACATTCGTTATCTTAACAGTAGTTATTTTTAGCCTCGAAGATACGTGACTCACGTATACAAGGACAAGTGTATTTTTACAATGCCTAATCTTAAATTTGAAATTTTATTTCTGCATTTATGGTCGACTCGCAAATTCTATTGTATGATATACAATCTGATCTTTAACAATGACAAACTTTTACTGTCAAAAGATATGTAAATGATTACTTCTTAAAAGTAAATTCAACAAAATTATATTAAGTTATTATAATTTTGTTGAAGATGGAAAATTTTCCTTGTGATAACAAAAATGACGTCTTTTAAAAGTTTTCCAACATAACTTTATAATACAAGTAGCACAATTTTCAAGAAACGATAAGATATGGCATACCTTCATAAGGTAGCAAGCCAAACGAACTGCAAAATATTTTCTAGAATTCTCAGTCACCAGTTGATCTTATACGAAATATTTCATAGAAGCTTAATATTTTCAACGTGTTATTTAGAATAATATTTATGAAAGTACTTTTTAAAGTTTGAATTTTTCTATGTTTGAAAGTAAATTTTGAAAACTTTTAAAGATTATGTTTAAAAATATGTTACAAACGTTAACAATTCCAACCGTTCGTTGAATTTACTAACAATGAGAAGAAGTCAATCCCACAGCATCAAAATAATCTAGAAAATGTCACACATTTAATATTTAACTTTAAATTCTATGGAGAGAGACAGAGAGAGAGAGAAAGAGAGAGAGAGAGAGAGAGAGAGAGAGAGAGAGAGAGAGAACTAAGAAATTTTTGTATATATTTATATTTATAAATAATTTAGTGACTTGCAAAAAAATTATGTGTTTAGTTTCATGCTGCTATCACCATACAAACTTCACCAGAAATGACGCAAATGTTTAATAAATTAAAATCAAGGTTCTAACAAATCCAAACAATGAGCGTAATATAAATGCACAATTAATTAAATGTACGTACATTAAATAAAATATAGATTACACAAAAACTTTTCATTAAAAAACTAAAGTTACAAACTTTTGTAATGACATGTACGTATGATGGAAAATTTTCCTTGTGATAACAAAAATGACGTCTCTTAAAAGTTTTCCAACATAACTTTATAATATACAAGTAGCACAATTTTCAAGAAACGATAAGATATGGCATACCTTCATAAGGTAGCAAGCCAAACGAACTGCTAAATATTTTCTAGAATTCTCAGTCACGAGTTGATCTTATACAAAATATTTCATAGAAGCTTAATATTTTCAACGTGTAAATTGTATTACTCGTTTTGATAAAGTTGACGTATTGTGACAATGCAGACGTTGTACGTATTTCTATTGTTGGCCTTCGTCGGGAGCGTTTTTGGAAAAGCAGTATGTACAATAATGTGTCATAATTTTTTACTATAAAATCATTTTTATCACTGCATCGTCTTATCAGACGAAAGTGATGCTGTCAAACGTGTAAAGGTGCTCTTTTGCACAAAGAGACAAGTTTAAAAGAATTACGAAAAAAATTAATCTTTTAGTAGTACACAATAACATCTATTTATACATAATTTAGTATCGGAAATAATATTCTTCTAAATAACGTTTATAACATACTAGAAACCTCAAGTTACAGTAAAAATATAACTTTAATTGTAAGATAACGAACGGTTTTAGATATTTCATCTGCAGGCTGAAAATGTCACAAATCTGCATGGCTTATTTATTAGAATTTACTATTTAACAACATCGATTTGTCTAATTTTGTGCCTGAAATTGTCAGCTAAATTAACTATGAATATATTTCTTTTAATTCAGTGTTTTATCTTCTTTTTACTTAGACTGGTAGTATATAGAATTGTAAGACTTGCAGAAATACAAATGTGATACTGGCGAGGTAAAGAACGAACATACACAGTTGGAAAATTTGTGTTTTCTTGTTTAAAAAAATGCCGGTTAAAATCTTTGTGTTAAATGTTTAACACATTCATGTGTTAATTTGACATATTGCTCTTGTGTTAATTGACCTCAAATGTAAAATCATTAAAATAACCGAAAAGAAATGTTAAAACAACATAATGTGTACTTATTTTTTAATCTGACACAATACATATGTTCTATATTATTAGTAACAAAATTTATCTGTTAAAATTTACAGAATAAAACGTTGATTTTATTCTACATAACATAAGTGAGAGTAATTTCGAACCGTCATTTGACTTATTACATATGTAAAATGTGAAAATTATGTTTTTTAAATTCATTTTGTCATTAAAAATATGTTAATTTTACAAAAAATTTATTTTAATATATCTTGAGATTTGCATTTATTTTGTGTTAAAATATTAACATAGTATTAGTGTGATTATTTAACATACCCATATTACGTTAAAATAACACAAAAAGTTGTGTGGACCGTTTGGGACATGTGACATCTGTTAAATTTAAAACAAATTTTTCAACTGTGTGTGTTAAATAGTTAAATATAAAAATTAATTACATAAAGTAACTTATTACATTTTTTATCAAAAGAATATTCTACAAGAAAATAAGAAAGTATGTGTATATGAACGAAAATGCTTTATTATACTATTAACTACATTATATGTATACTTTTCATGCTCCAAATTATATGTATACAGAATGATCCATGCGATTTATTTAACAACATCGATGATTAATTTTATTTATAAAACTGTCAGTTAAATTAACTAATAAAACTTTATTAATTCAGCCTTTTACCTTCTTTTTAATTAGATACATAAAGATAGTAACGAATTGTTAAATAGTCCAAATTATCAACAAGTGGAACAACTGGAACCACCTAAAGGTTTATATATACCTGGAAGTATAATTATTAATATAATTGTAAGTCTGTAAAATAAACTACATTTGTTATTAAAGTACAACAATAAATATTCTTAAAAGGGGTAAGAAAGTATATACGAACGAGAAAGTTTTACTATACATATTAATTAGTTTATAGTACAACATTATATGTATACATATAATATAATTCATACAATTTATCTAACAAAAGTTTAATTACTTCTTTTAAAGATTACATTTAATGTCTACTATTATATATTTCTTTAATTAGCTATTAATAAATTTCCTTTATAATTTATATAATTGAGTTTTCTATCTTCTTTTTAATTAGTTTAATAATCCAGACTCGCAAGAATCAGAAGAATATGAACAATTCACTCCAATTGTTAGCCCAAGACCAGAAACACAAGACTTGGTAAATATTAAATATAAAAATAATTAATACAAAGTAAATTATATTTTATAACGTAGGAAAATTAATAAACAACACAACTGTTCAAATTAGATTCAATTCAAATTAGAGAAATTTATTGCGAAAAATATTAGCTCAGTCAAGGTTTGTGCCTGGACCTCCCTAGACTCTTGGTGGACGTTTCACCAATTTGACCACTCAGACATGTGGTAATATTTGTCGCAATAAACAGTCCAATGATGATATCTTCGCGTCTATTCTTCGACTTTAAACTGCGCGCCAACTCGGGTTATCGACAGTGACAGAAACATCAATACGCAATTTTTAAGTAAAAAGAGTGTAGAGAGGTCCAGGCACAAACCCTGACCGAGAGGTAATATTTTTTGCAATAAATTTCTTTAATTTGAATTGGCCAGTTGTATCGTTTATTAATTTTCCTACATGGTTAATTACTTACTGGCGACAATAAGTCTTTATTCTTGTTAAATTATATTTATTATCAAAATAAAAATAATATTCTAAAAAGAAGTAAGGAAATATACGTATATGAACGAAATTGTTTTATTATACAATTAGTTTACATTACATTAACTACATAATAATAAAAAATACATAATAATATATACTACATAATTATATAAGATGAACCACAATTCATCTAATAAAAGTTCGTTTACTTTCTTTGAAGATTATATTTAAAGTTTACCTATATTTCCTTAATTGGCTATTAATAAACTTCTTTTATATAATTCAGTTTTAATCTTTTTTTAATTATAGGTTGATAAACCAGACTCGCAAGAATTAGAAGAACAAGGCTCGGTAAATGATAAATATAAAAATTAATAATACAAAGTAAATTATATTAATTATTAAAATAAAAATAATATTCTAAAAAGTAAAGAAGTATACGTATATAAACAAGAATGTTTTATTATATAATTAGTTTATACTACATTAACTACTAAATTAGAAAAGGCACATAATTGTATATACTACGTAATTATATCAAATGAACCACAATTCATCTAATAAAAAAGTTCATTTACTCTCTTTGAAGATTATATTTAAAGTCTCCCAGCACACATGTGTCTAAAAGACGTCTTAAAGATGTTTTGACTACTATATTTCTTTAATTGGCTAACAACGATTAAACTTCTTTTATAATTTATATAATTGAGTTTTCTATCAATTCTTTTTAATTTGGTTAGTAAAACAAACTCGTAATACTCGAAAGAACATGGGAAAGACTTTCCACTTGATAGTTTATAGTACCCGAAACATAAAAACACTAGGTAAATGTTAAATATAAAAATAAATAAATGTACACAAAGTAAATTATATTTAATATTAAAACAAAACTAATATTCTAAAAAGAAGAAAAGAGACATATTTAAATAAAAATATAATAGCCCAAACAATACGTATGTCTAAAAGACATCTTTAAAACGTCTTTTCGACATGCGTGCTGTATGAGAGACTTTAAATATAGCCTTCAAAGAAAGTGAATGAAGTTTTATTATATAAATTGTGGTTCATCTTATACAATTGTAAGCAAAATTTGAAAATATTGAATCGCCAGTAATTAGTTAACAATTAAGTTGAATAATCCAACACAATTGGCTACAGGAAACTTCCTTTATTAACACAACGTTTCGGCCTTTGGCTTTGGCCCTTTTCAAGTGCTTTCTACAACTTCTAGTCAGCGTATGGCATATGGTCAAATGCTATTAGGCCCACTGGAGTTATGAGTGTTGCTACAGAGACATTATATTATATCTCTTTAGAAACGCGTAATTACTGTATGAGTACAGAAATGAGACAGAAATCAGTATATGGTATACTACTTTATTGTTATACAATTATGTAGTATATAAAATTATGTATCTTTTATTATATAAGTAGTTTATTTTCAATTAATTATCCCCGCGCACACAAGAGGTGTCAATTCACTGGACAACATCCACGTGGTACACCTTAGGTAATGCGAATGCCGGCAGTACTGTAAATTTCAAGTTTTGTGACTCCAAAAGTACTTAATGAAAAATAACTTTATTATAGTGTTTTGGAAAGCTCTCAAGATTATCTATAAGATTATGTAATAAAAAGTAGGGGTTTTTATTTAACATTTTTATTTCTTAAGTCCTATTCTTTTTGTTTGAAACATTTTTTTAATAAATCAATATTTTCTAAGATATTTAGCCTTTCCGGAACTTTTGCCCCCCTGTATATTATGTATGTACGAGGAAAGTCCCCAGCTATTATGAGATATGCTTTTAATATATGATAACACAGGTTTCTGCTAAATTAATAACAGGGTTGGAAAAGTTACTTCATAAAAGTACCTAGTTACAGTTACAGTTTTTTGCTAAAAATGTAACTATAGTTACAGCTACAAATTACCAATTCTGAAAAACGTAACGAATCGTTACTTTGCAGTCACTTTCTTGCAATGAAAATAAAAATATCAAATCTGCGCTTGAATTATAAAGTGTCGATAAAAGCGTTTATGTGCAAATGCAAGACCTAATGCGATCTGTGGAGGTTTAAAAAATATATAAAGTAACTATTAATGTAACTATTAAATTAGTTACTAGTTATAAAAAAATGTAACTGAATTAAGTTACAGTTACAGATGGAAAGAAAGTAACGAAGTTAAGTTTATCAAAAAACAGTAACTGTAACTGTAACTTCGTTACAAGTAACGAGTTACTTCCCAACCCTGATTAATAGGCATCATGTGTTGGTCTCACCATGAATTGATTGCCTTTGGAGTAAAATCTATTTAATGGTAATTAATTTATTGTTAGATCTTACGTGTAATCATTGCTAAAAAACATTTGTAAAATTAGATGTTAAAAAGCCGATATCTCATATTAAGAGCCTATCACATAACAGAGGACTTTTCTCTACTTATAACGAAACACATCTAATTAAATACTAAATACCAATAATATTAAATATTCTTGTGCACAAAACTTTTTTTAATATTTTGCAGGGACTATTAGATTTGGTCGGAACAATATGGGATTTATTTGGTTAGGTATTCTGATCCTAATATAATCTAAAAATTAGTAAAAGTAAAAGGAAACATTATGTAAGTTACTATAGATATTAATACTAACTATAAATACTATATATATTGTACATACTATAGATATTAGTGTGTGTTAAATATTGCATTAATTGATTTTCTGCTGAGTTTCGTGCATATAAATGAGTGAATTTGCTTACAGGAGGAACAACCTCTATTATTGCTACTGTAATGCACTGTTATTAAAATCTCATCTATGAAGAATGTGCACGTATTAATGCACAAATTTTTATTATTATTATTATGTAACTTGAATATACTGTAAACACGTTAAAGTTTAAGATTATAAAATTACATGAATATATGTATAATATGCATATTGATAAAATCTTTTAACAGGTATAATAAATGTCGCTTATACTTAGTCGCTTATACTTGGCGCGAGACACTACCGTGTCTCGTGATAATATGTCAACAGATTTCGTTGTAGAACCATTTCATACAAACCTATCATCAGGGTTAGGCAGTAACACATTACTTATAACGAAGTTACAGTTACAGTTACTTCTTTTTAGTAACTCTAACTTTACTTCGTTACTCTCTCCATCTGTAACTGTAACTTAACTCAGTTACATTTTTTCGATAACTAGTAATTAATTTAATAGTTACATTAATAATTACTTTGTATATATTTTGAACCTCCACAAATCGCATTAGGCCGATTTTTCTGTGCGAAGATATTAATAATTATATCGACTCGAGATCTCAATCTCGGAAGAAAATCAATATTTTCAGAATTAATCAATGATAACGCATAAACTAATGATCCGAGATAAGCGATTCTTATCTCGTTAAAAGCGCTGAATTCTTAGCTTTCCAATGAGACCAAGATCATCTGGCTACGATTTTTTTGTGCAAAAATATTGATGATTATATTGACTCGTGATCTCGATCTCGGGACAAACTCAATTTTATTTTCAAAATTAATCGATGATGTCTCATAAACTAATGATCCGAGACAAGTGATTATTATCTCGTTAGAAGCGCTGAAATCTTAGCTTTCCAACGAGACCAAGATCATCTTGCTACGATTTTTCTGTGCGAAGATATCGATGATTATATCGACTCTTAATCCCGAGACAGAAGCATGATGCTGCGGCGGCGCGGCGTCTGGCGCGGTGTCTGGCGCGGCAATGTTTACTACCGAACAGGTGTACCTCGTATATTTTTATGCCAGTTTTTTGAGGACGTAGTACGCTCGCCTACTACTCGCATAAAATTCGCGCGGCCTTCTCACATGAATGGGGCGCGCGCGTCCGATTTTTAAAACGCTATAACTCAGCAAAAAATTGATGTAGCGACACGAGCCAAAAACCAATCTTCTTCGTTTTGCATCCCGCAGATGTCTACGCTGAATATGTATGCCCTTATCATGAAACTTACACACGGCAATCGAATAAACAGTAAAATGCTGAAGTATAAATTATACGTATAACTGCTAAATATAAAAATTGGCTGACAAACTATATTAGATTGTATAGCAAGTAAATTAACGTTTGACTTTTTATCATTATTCATCATATTTAATTAACATGCTTTATTTCTACTAGCATTTTGGTATAATTAAATGTGTTAGATTTTGTATCAAATTTGTACTCTTTTTTCCAATAAAATTTGTAGCAGACCGTTTTTTATATTCACTAGAAAATTATTTAAACATTATTTTGTACATGTACATACATGCAAGATTGCTCCGTTTATATCGTACAATCAATAGGATTGCACTCTGATAAATTAAACTTGTGCTCTGTCCTTGCTACTTGCAAAAGTTGAAGAAAATTGCTCCGTTTAGAGTATACCCGAACGTAGCCTAAATATACTTTATATTTTATATTTTTTAAATGGGTATTTATTATAACAACTATATAGAACACTGATAAAGTCTTCCTTTTAAATATAAACTCACAAATTTTAAACGTATGGGTTTGTCTCTAATACTTATTCGCACTTTCGTTCGAATCATTTGAATAAATAAAATAAAAACACAGAACAGATGTTTTATTTTGCTCAAATAGCAAATAACATAAAAATGTAAGACACTCACCTCACGATTTCTCCGCCGTTGCCCGATGCCTCCTAGACCTCGTCCTCCTCCTTTTAGATTTCCTTCTTGTACTCACACAACACTCGCGAAAATCATCGATCGCGCGAAATTTCGGGCACTCCCGTACGCGATGTGAGATACCGCGAAACGCACGAAATATTATTAACAAATATCGTGTGACTTTCTATCATACAAATTACTCAAATTAACAACTTGCATTTTTGATTCGGAAAATAGGATAATGGATAAATCACTTTTGAATTGGCGATATAAAACGCAAAGCGAGCACCAGAAGCATAATCTGCGCGATAAAGAAGTAGTTATTAGTCCGCGACGAAACGATATTTTACAATCTTTGTCATTTAATCTAATCCTCAAATTAAATCATGTGACCGAAATTTCCAGCCATAAATAGTTGTTATTAATTGCAACAGTTAATCGAGATTATTTTCAATTCCATTTATATAATGTAACGACGTGCAATAAGCGACTTTCTTTACTTAATTCCTGCCCGTCCGAGTTGCGAAGAACAGCAGAGCGAATTACAGCCGAAGTCGTACAAATTTTTCACTTTTCCCGAAAATGGAACAGATTACACGAAATCGATAGATAATTAAAAGCGCGGTGCGTAAACGGGATGTAACCGCGACACAATACCACAGTTTACATTCATAATTTAGATGAGTTAGTCTCGTTACAAGTTGTAGAAAATATCTATGTGTACGTTGATAAAGAGCCGTCGCCTCAACATGCAATTCGTTTCTCGTTACAAGTTGTAGAAACTTAATAATTAATCGAGGAACGTTACTTGTTACTGATAAAGGTGTGCAAATCAATAGCGTTTTATCCCTACATTCATCGCGATCGAGTCTTCGAAACCGATAACGCAAAAATAATACTACGCACGGAGCGACTCTCGCCACTGCTTGCCGGCTCGACGTTCGGCGAGCGAGTGAGCGCGGCGACCTTCGGGGTACACAATGGCATGCAAACATCGTACAACGTCACCGCGCCGAGAGAAAAACAACTACGAACGTTGAGAATTCGTTGTCCCGCCTACGAAATTGAAAATTCTGTACTTAATATTTTACATTACTTTGTTCCGTGACTAATTACTACGTTTTGTGTATCATTCTGCGGACTTATTGGTTATTGATTAAATTAACGATTAATTCTGTTCAATCGAGAAAATGTATCGGAACAAAAATCGTTGTTACTTAAATTCTAATTACCAAGATTAGAGATTTTACCTAAATAGTTGGTGTATACAAATGTATATTTCTAAATTACAAATCTTCATTTACTATACGAATCTAAAAGAGACGTGAAGCACACCGCGCTTCGAGAAGACCAATCGGCATCGCGGAAAGAAGGGCTCAACTGTTCAATATTAACGATATTCGCGCTGGTAATATCTGTTTTAAAAAAGGATAAAATGTATAAGTAATAAGATGTAATTTTCACAGCAAAGAAAATTGGATTTCTTATTTAACAAAAACAATTATTTTATTTAATGAATAGTATATATCATGAAATCTTGATTTAAATGTAGATAATGTAATGATTTCAATTAACTTACTCAATATAATACATAGATTTACTTGAAATTGATATTTTTATTTAAATAGAATAAATATTTGCTTCAGTAAAAATACAATTTTAAGTAAATCTATTAACTTAGTTAAAAAAATTTTTTGACCGTGTATATGTATACTTGATAAATGATGTTCCGTAAAGTTGTATTAAACTTCTCTTAATATAAAGAAAAACTAATGTCAGAGAGAGAGGGGGGGGGAAATGTTAAAAGATAGTGTTATAGGTACATTTGATAAATGATATTTCTTTCTACTGGATTGCTTGCTTTATCGACACTTTACAATTAAAATGAAGATTTGATTTTTTTATTTTTATTGCAAGAAAGTATGAACTGCAAAGTAACAGTTCGTTACTTTTCGAGTAACTGTAAAACGTTACTTTTCAGAATTGTAACTGTAACTTGTAAGTAACTGTAACATAGTTACGTTTTTAACGAAACAACTGTAACTGTAACTAAATACTTTTATAAAGTACCCAGTAAACACAAAGTAACAGTTACATAACTGTTACTTTGTGTTTGCTGGGTAACTTTCCCAGACCTGTCTATTATTTTGTCATTTTGAAAATGAATGGAAAAATGGAAGTAAATATAAAAATTCATGAAAATTTTTCTATATTCCACATCGAAAAAAATTTAGAATTATTTCAAATATTTCTCATGATTCTAAAATCATTACATGAAAACTCTTATTTTATTTATAGAAAACTTATAAAGGATTATATATATATGCATTCCCATTATTTTATTTAAAAAGATACAGAGAGATATTATATACATTTTTATATATTTGTATTTAGAGACAAATAAAGAAATGGAACATACATAGATAAAATGTGCATATACCATGTTAATTTTCTTATCTATGAATATATTTTCATGTACGATACTAATTGTATGCTTATGATAGGAGAAGTAAATTGGCAGGAATTAAACATGATACAAATTAACATGGGCATGTATTAATATGTATCTTGTTATAACTGTGATTTATATGAACAAGTCTAATGTATTTCGATCGGCAAATAATACATAAATCTAAAAGGATACCTATAATGTATCAAGATGTTTGTATTGTCTAAATAACATGGTTTAAATGCCATAAATATGCAAAAATCATTTAATAATAATCTTTAAAGTTCTGTAAACTCCACAAAAGTAATCATCCGAGTCGGAGAGACTCAACTGCGCCGTGTAGACCAGATTTTGTCGAAACGATGGAGTTTAAGCGACTTGCACAACTTTAGTCAGCGGATCTTTCTGTGCCGAATTAATTTTATCGCCCAAGGATAAAGCCATACCTTGGCTCTTAGCTCTGATACGAATATGACCGACCACTGGAGCGTCGGGTTTGTTCAGTGGTTTCTCGATAGATAAATTCGCTAATGCGTCTTCACCGAATATCGATTTAGCATACATATTTGCCGCCATAAATCCACACTGTCCCGAAAGAGCCTGTAGAGAAAACAATAATAATTTTTCTAGCAGCAATGCTGTTTTAATAGAAAATTAGTCCAAAGAATGAGACGTACCTTTTCCGGCGTGAGACAACGCATATTTGTGGACTTCAACAAATGTGCAAGATACTCCCTCAAGTCGGACAGAGTCGTATTAACAGAAACTTTGTTCTCCCATTCGAATTCGGCCCACATCTGTCGGAATTCTGTGTCAGTGCAAGTTGCGGGCACTATATAATCCATAATGTCGATATGTATGTCGTTAAGAACGACCACGCTTCTATCAGAGCCCGCTCCTGATACATCGTAAACTACAAATAAAAAAGAATAATCGTGATGATCAATAATCAAATTGTTAGCTCCCGAAACGGACAGCAATGTGTTGCAATTTGTCCAAAATTATCTAAATTTTACACACCAATATTTCCAAAGATAATGCCGTTCTCCGTAGATGTAACCTTCACGTTCGCTTTAATGGTAGCGAAATCCCTAGGCGCGAGTACGATGGGCTGCGGTCTTTCCACCAATTTCAGATCGCCCAAAGTGGCCAATTCCAACGTACAATTCTGCAACGTGTCTTCCGTTTGATTAACTATCAGCACGTCGAGCACGATGTCGTACTGATTAACGTGGACCAAGGCCTCCGCGTAAACGGGGTCCGAGAAACCGGTGAGTTGAATGACTTTGCTCAAGGCACTCGGAGCATCTCCGCTGGCGCCAGGTCGTCCCGCTACAGCTGCGCTGAGGCTCTGCTCGAACATATCGCCAGCCCCACCGGTCAGATCGGATCCTCGGCTCAATTGCAAGAATTGAATTGCATCGTCAACTTGAACGATACTGCCCGGCTTTTCCTTGGCTTTCTGATTTTGCGACTCCTCCTCCGCTTTCGCGGTCAACATTCTACCGAGTGCATCGCGGCATCCCTCAGTAAAGACTTTCTGTACGAGAGGTGTTGGGCAAGCAAGAGATCGGAGGCATAGGGATATCCTCTCCGCATCGTCGTGTGTCATTGCTTTCATAGGAAGACCTGAACGGCCTAGCTGTAACACGCTGGACATTATAAACATTGCTTCTGCCTGCAACCTGTTGCTCTTTTGGACGTTGTTTTCGAGCATTTTATAACGGAAGGCTAATTTCGCCAGTGTGGTAGCTAAGGACGCACCAATGAAAAAATCTCCTTCCATCATGTATTGCACTAATGCTGGCCGCTTCTCCTCTTTTTTCCCTATCGATTAATTCGCATGTGTTATACAGTAGTATACAATGTGTATAATAGTATTAGAAATTTCACATATGTATAGATATTCTACGAGAACAAGAGTTACTCACGTGCAGATGCAGCACTGAAAGCACTTTGAGTCGCGTAAGTACCATCAGACGTGACGAGTTGCGCAGGTGCAGCTTGCGAGTTAGCGTCTTCGGACTTTTCGCCAGCTTGCCGTTTGTTCTCTGTCTCGAGCAACGGCAGCTCGCCTAACGCTGCCCGCACACGGCCCATCACGGCCTCTATGTCCTCTTTCGACGTGGCATACTCGCCGAGAATCCAGAGTGCGGCTCTGTGTACTTTTACGGATCTTACGTGGGGGAACACCTATTTTATCGAAATCAAAATTAGTCTCCGTTACTCTTGCCGGCCGTATTTTTAGTAGTACACCGTCGCGCACGCACCTCCAACAGTTTCTCGATGATCAACGGTCTGAGATTCTCGAATCTCTGAATAGCTTCACGAATGAATGCAAAAAGATCCGTGGCTACTGCCTCGTTACTCTCCGATAGAAAATCGGTCAGTACTGGGATGACGGTAACGGCAACGTCCGCAAACTTCATGGAACAAGTGTGGAGAGTCCGTATCAGGAGCTGGCGGTATCTGCCAGCGTCCTCGTGCTCTCCGCCGGCTGTCCGGAGAACTTCCTTCTTTAAAAGCTGCACCATTTCCTCGATCGTGCGAGTTGTAACCAAATCCATAGCTAGAGCCAAGGTTTTCGTCCTAACTTCCAAGGCTGGTGATCCTGTTCGAGATAAATGACAATAATAGTATAAAAACCGCCGATGAATATTCCAACAAGTTTCTCATTGCCATCATTAATACCTAAAACGCGAAGTATGTCCATTACAAGATCCTGAAGTACCCTTTCGTACACGGGACTATCTTTCATTGCAATTAGCCGATCCAATACGATAAGTTTAACGTTGTTGTCACTCTCCTTGACAACCAATTCGATGTAGCAGGACGCCGCAGCTTTGATCGCGGTTGGCGCACTGGAAAGGGTCACCAACGTGCCGGCTGCTTCGTAACGCACCGCAGCGCTGGGTGAATTTAGCAAGCTATAAATACATCTGATAAAACGTGCCCTTTCCGAAGGATTCGCGAGACAAACCTGGAAGATGAGAATTACAACTATGACAGTTGTTGTACGAACATGTGACTCATCGAAATGCACAGCGCACTTGCATTCCGTACCTTATATATTAATTCAACAATGACCAACTGCAGTATATCACCGAAACTCGGCACTTGATCGAGGCACGCGGCTAAATACGCGAGAGCTTTGCTCTGATCGGCGTGCAGCAACATTAAGAATGCATTTCTTCTGCACGACATATCCTGCTCCCCCTCCAGATACTTGGCGATCAGGTCCGGAGCGTCCGGTATGAGAAATTCGAAATTTCTGTATATAGTAAAAATGGCGAGCACCGCGTTACGTCTGACATACGAGTGCCTGTGCTCCAGGCAACCGGTTATCGCCGGCATCAGTGGCTCGAGAAGTTCTGGCTCCTTCAGTTTGCACAAGAATCTGCAAATTTCAGAAATAAGAAATTAAACACTCCTGCTAATGAAATTAGCGATAAATTAAAGTAAAAAAGGCAGTCAAGGTATGACGCGATTCCCGTTGCATGCCGAAATCTTCAACTTAATAAATATTACAAATACACATTTTCCCAAACATTTTGGCTCAGCTTGAGCCATCCTCAGTGTTGCAAAGAATTCAAGGGACTCAGCTCGGGCTTAACGATGCATGTGAAGGAATAATTTGCCGAGGATCAGTTCAAGCTAAACCAAAACGTCTGGGAAACAAGCATATTTGTAATATTCATTGAATTCAAGATTTTGACGCGCAACAAGAACCGCATTTCACTCTCATTGCTCTTTTTACTCTCAGCAAATTCGGTTCCTTGCACTCAGTGCGCACTAAGGCTCGTTTACAGTCAATTCTTGTTTTTAAGGAGTACTTTTTAAATACCTCTTGAAAGGCTTCTTGGCTGGTAAAATAATCCGCACGGTATCCGTACAAATCACTTTTTGGCTAAATGAGTTTCTGCACGTGTATTCAAGATTATCATAAATACAAGAGAACTGACACTGAACAAGCCTTAGCGTGCATTCAGTGCGCACTTAGCTATTTTTCTTTTTAACCGCAACTCTAACATTCACCATGTGCAACGCCTACAAAGTGCAATTTGACTGGCGCTCACGGTTGTGACCTCACCTGAGAGTCGACCCCCTGACAAATTCATTAGGATGCTGAAGATCCTTTCTGTACGCGTCACACACCAGGATCATCTCCTGCAGCAGCTTGCCGTCGGCGGAGGTCTTCGGCACGATCTCCCAGAATATCAGCAGCAGCTTCTTGATGGTGTGATTCTGCAGCGGCAGGACGAACCTGATGATCGTCATGAGCAGCCCCGGCAAACGCTCGCCGCTCAAGATCATGTGGATCGTCTTCTTGAGCGCGTCGATCTTCGTCTTGGCGTTACCCTTCTCGAGGTCCTGCTTCAGCTGGAGCTCGTTCAGCGGCTCCGTGTCGGTCGGGATGTTTATCAGGGTGTAGCACGGTTGCTCGGTTATCGTGCTCATTTTCTCAGCTGTTCGTCACGCGTCCGAGATGAAAGTTTCCTTACAACCTGCGGAGAAAAGACGGAAGGTTTAACAACGCTGTCGCGAGTTTTTTCGCGTGCAATTTTCTACGCGCTAAGGAAAAGCGGGTGAACGATTAGCGAGGTTAGGTGAGGTGTCCCTGGCACATTGCGCGTATCGGCGACGCGTTGAATCGAGGCTCGACGCGAGACGCTCGCGAACGGCAGACCGGGCACGTACCTAAAATCAAGGCTGAGAGAAATATGCGCAAATAATCGCCACGTTAAAGTTTGCTGACATTTAAATACATGTAGATGCGGAGGGAAACGGTATATACGTGTCGGTGTCATACGTGTCAAGCCCGCGATTACAAGGCAGCCGCACGAGATGTCGCTAGCTTCCCGATTCGCGCGCTGGGTAACAAAGCTCTCTGCGTTACCGACTCAGACGGCACACCAAAAAAATCCGAAAAGAATCTTCCTTTAATCCGCAATTGCGAGATCAATATGTCTTTCCCGTTTCTGAAAGCATCCGTCGCTAATTCTGAGCTCTTTTCTAGATACAAAATGAATTCTTTTTACATTCTATAAGAACTCGCAAAGAAATTCTTTTAGGCGCGTATTCTGAGTCCTCTTTTATCAATAAAAAGCGCATCTAAAAGTGACTAATAAACCTTCTGATTGGCTATAAGCCACTGTTAGAGGCGCTTTTATTGATAAAAGAGGAGCCGTTGAGTTTATTTTAAACAGAGTACGGTAATTCCTAAAGAATTTTTTAACTACATACACTTTAAATCCATATAAGGCTCCCAAGGAGAAATGAAAATCAAGCTTTGATGTCATATTGACCAAATTTATGTCATATTGTGGTCAATGTGACATCAAATTGACCGCAATTTGTCATCTTGACTTTTCATTTCTCCTGGGCTTGTAACAAATACCGCCGTTGAATTACCCGGAAGTATTGCCGGAATAAGAACCGCTCCGAACTTTCGTTGCACGTGGTCGAAATAAATCAGAGTTCACAGGCTTGAAGTGTAACGCTTTTATTCACAGGTACAATTTAACTGTGCACTCGACAAGCACCACGCGTTAATTAGAATATACCGAACACCTGAGTATCGAATCTCTTTTTAAACTCGTAAGGACTCTCACGTTGCGAATTACGTCTTACCCGCACCGCTTCTCGAGAGAGAGTCGCCGCTTTTTCCGTTCCGACGGCGCGCGAGCCGTTAGGAGGTTTTGGCGATCACGCGTGTTAACGCGCCATGGCTGCGACCGTTTCGCGCCTTTCGGTGTACGATACAGGGCCGTCCTGTATCAGGGCCGGCTCACCGTCTCGCGCCTTACAGGCTCATCTTAAAGAGATGTACTTGCAAAACTTAGGCCTGGGGCTCGATCATAAATCTTTGGTTGGGCACAAAGTTTGACTCATATATCTCGTGATTCGTCATCCAGTGTCACGTGTTACCTCTGTTACGCTCGGCCACATGATGCCACGGTGATCAGATTTGTTGACGCTATCCTGTATCGGTGAGTAAAATACCGCGCGTTTCGTCAAGTTGATCAAAGTCACGTGTGTGTGTGTATCAATAAACGTACGCAACGTGAACAGTTTTTCACGAAATACCGAAAATCCGTACGAGTTCTCTTTCGATGTACATACCGCCGGTTATAGGTTATCTCACTTTAGAGTACACAAGTACATTTTCCCTTTGTATACAAATTACTCAGGCCTGAGTGACAGCAGGTGTTTTTCTTTAACTAGGTTTTATCCCATCGCGCACTATTGAAAACCATGGACGGCATCGCCGAAACGATCATAGCGCAGGCGACGGACCCGAAAGTGGCGTTTATGGCCGCAGCTCTCTTCGGCTATTGTTTATACAAACTCATGGCCATGACGCGCAGAAAGAGCTCCCAGTCCTTTGCAAAGGACTCCGACGAAACGGATGACGATGACGTGGTAAAGACCGTATAACTTGGCTTCGAATCTCACTCTCTATCCTTTTCTCTTTCTCTCAAGCTCACATGATTTTGCGTTGTCTAGGCGTACACGGACAATGACGGCGGTTACAAGCTGATCCTGATAATTCGGACGGATTTGAAAATGGGAAAGGGAAAAGTGGCAGCTCAGTGCTCGCATGCCGCCGTCGCGGCTTACAAAGCCGTCAGTAAGCATCCGAAGATCCTGAGATCGTGGGAGGAGTCTGGCCAGGCCAAGATCACCCTGAAGGTATTGCATTTCAAGCGACGCTCAGTACTACCGATTGACAAAGGAGATGTGTTCTTATAAAGTACACAACAAACTCGATATACTCCAGTATCAGTCCAATATATTAAATATTCTTTGTTAACATCGCACCAGATCGTGAGGTTTCGATCGAAAGAGACCGTCGCTCGACGTTTCGTATTTAACTATACAATTTATAGTATTAAAATAAATACTTTCTCGCACACGGCGGAATGGGAAAAAGATACGTCGGCTTTTCAGGTGGACAGCGAGGCTGCTCTTACGGAGATCGCGAAGCAGGCTAAAGCCATGGGTCTCTTGGCGAACGTTATACAGGATGCGGGGCACACGCAAATCCCAGCGGGAAGCAAGACTGTATGCGCGGTCGGGCCAGGCCCGGCCAGGTTGGTAGATCAAGTCACCGGTCATTTAAAGTTATTTTAACTGTTTATCGAATAAAGCCCCCCGAGCCCTTTCATATATCCTTGATTTTTATATTTTACTTCTAACACCCTTAAAGTATCTCTTATCTGCTGTTTAAATTACATGTCAGTCTGTTGGCGAGATTTAGTTCCGTTGTGCGCAGAGAAATCGTAACACAGTAGGACGCTGTTACATTTGTAACGAACACGACAAATTTTTTAAGCGTGTTGACTCCGCTAGAAGCTAGAAAATTTCTAGACACTCGAGAACTTTTCTATTCTGCAGCCAATCAACACGCTTGAAAAACTTGTACGACAAATGTAATACCAGCCGTAGAGGTGAACGTTGACGAAGACCGAGTCAGACTAGCAATCGTTGACTCGGATTGAATTGCATTGGCGATTGATGACTGTCCTTTAATCAATAAGAGCAAAGCGGCCAGTGATTTAGTCGGATCTCATTGGCTAGAGGACAATCGTCAATCGCCAATCCGAGTCAGCAATTGCTGGTCTGATTCGGTCTTGACGCGAATTTTTAGCATCCTATTATCCACTTATATATAGTATATATTAGGAAGGTTAATGTTACATGATTTTTATTGTTTTTTTTTATATGCTTTGCGAAGCAGAATTTTGAGATTAACATTCAATTCAATAAAATGTATGAGCAAAACAAATTTCCTTCGTGACAAGCTTTAACAAAAGTATTTATCTTAACAGGTTTCTCTTACAATTAATATAATACGTATTTGTATGTTTGCATGTGTGTGTGTGTGTGTGTGAGGGTATGTGTGTTGCGAAGTACAAACGTACCATAGAGTGTCAGTCCGATCCTCGCGTTCTCTACGAACACTTGGAACGTTTTCTAAGAAACGTGACAGTTAGAGCTCGGATGTTGGTAGAGCTGACACTATTTACGGCAGACATCATAAATGAGAAGAAAGTTGATTCTTTTAGCTCATCAGACATCCGAACTCTATGAATAATCCTTTGCTACATTAATTAAGAGCGTTAATAATTAAATGTTTGGACGGATTACAATTAAAATCATACTTGAGCATATTAGCGCTTATTAGCGAGATTATTTCGTCCTTGTATGCGTATGGAACTCGTTATATCACGAGCTCTCACGTACGGATATGTATGCAAGTATGTGCATTTAGTGAATGTTAAGGCATTTTCGGTTTCTAGCGCATTCCTTCAGGGTTTCGTCTCGAATACCGGCAAATATTAGCAAGTTTAATATATGCGCTCGCACTACGTTCTTCGTCGATCGCTTTTCTGTCGGCCCTGCCGCGGCTGCAAAGCGGCGACCACCTGTTTCCCGATGTGTCTCCCATTCTTTGGTACCCAGTACTATATATTGTTCCGCAAAATTAACTTATAAATATAAATAATCTATATCGGTAGCGCGGGAGCTTTCCGAGGTATTTTGTTCGAACTGGCAGCGCTGCACTGCGACTCCGCGATAGATCTACCATCGGCCTCGTCCCTACGGCAGAGCTCCGGCTCGTTCTGTATCCAATTCTGCGCCTGGCCGTGGCCCACCGTCTTCGCCGACTGCGACTCCTCGTTCTCGGACACGGCGCCCACCTCTTCCAGCAATTTCGACAAGGACGGCGCCAGGCCCAATCCCAAATTGCGCTCGTGGTAAACCTCCGAGATCGTGGGCGTGAGTTCGCGCGTCAGGCTCGTCAGGGAAGTGGCCAGGTTTCTCAGGTTCTGCGGATGCGTCTCCGTGGACTGCGTCGCGTCGGTCTGCGCGCTGCAAATGTCCTCGCTCGACGCCGCGGAGTGCCGCGGCTTCCTCGACGTACTCGTGCCGACCTCCGTTCTCACGCTCAATCTCTCCAACACGTTAGCCGGCAACGGCGGCAACGGCTGCCGTCGCAACACGGTGGCGTGGCCGTTGTCCCAATCTGTCACCGAACTGCTCGAGCTCGAGCCGGGCCTCACCGGGTTCTGGTCGGGATAAAGATTCCGGATACGAGTCTGGTGATTCAAGTTGAGAGCCACAGGAGGACTAGGTGTAAATGCCACGTCTGATTCGCCTGAAACGTTCGAACGTAATATTCAATTTCTATGTAAAATATAGAGATTTTTGTACAAACGTACAACTACATTTTTATCCTTTTTTTTATCCTGTGAAGTTCTCGTCGATTGGGCGAATTGTTTTGTAATATTTGAACAAGGCAGATGCTCCGTCTTGTAATTTTAAGATATACATACCTCCACCGTTTTGACACGGCTGCCGTGACGCTGGTATCAAAACGTTCGGCGGTTCCATAGTTTTCCCGTCTGGTTCGCCACGATGTCGTACGTAACTTGCAAACGCTCCTCCCAATCGCGGCCGTTCCACGAGGTTCTTCTCGGTGTGGGCCACGGAAGCTAAACTCTCCATTGAACTGCCTGAATCTAAGCTAAGACTTTTTGGTGCTTCCTGTGTATCTGTAATTAATAATACACACATTAGACAAATGCATACAATTAATTTGTATTTACTACTGTTACGATGTGTCAATAGTTGAATTTTAATTTTACCAAATAATGCGAGAAGAGCTTGAAGAGCAAACTGGACGGCTCTACGTGAGGCTTGTTTGCCTGTTCTCAGTATCACTTCCGATTGCCCGACTTCCATCAGGTCGAACCCTAAGCTAGCGAACAGTTCGTGCGATCCTGATGCTCTCCAAACGTGTACAGGCAATATAACTTCTTGTCCTTCTGTAGCGCAGCTGGCTCTTCTCATGGCAGCGATGACGTCTTCTGCAGCTTCCGGCGCCTGAAACATTTGCAGCGCAATTAGTTAAAATCACAACCTCTTACCGTCTTCGGTTAAACATGTCAATTAAAGTGAGTCAATACTTGTAACAGCCTAGCCAAGGCGTGCAACGACGATTGACCTAATCCTAGTAGAGCTTGCAAGCTGGCGCTACATCTCGTCAGTCTTTCCTCGGGATCGCTTTGTGGGAAGAACACGGAGGATGGTATACCGTTGCCGGCCGGCTCGAATCTGAATCCCACGGACATCAGGAGCTCTCGCCAACCGGTGGCTGCGCCCACTTTGTTCTCGATACTGCGCTGCGTCGTATACATGGCGTTCTTCTGCCCGCGATGAATTCTCTGTAACGATTTCTCTACCAGATGAAGCGTCACTCGCAGCGCGTCCCTGCTCTGCTCGGGACCACCGCGCAATAATTCCGCCAACGCTTGACCCATGAGCGCGACCTGATGAAACGAGGGAAAAATGATGAAATATTACCATTAAAGCTGCGAAATACTATATTAAAACTTCTTCATTCGGAACTTTCTGATAGTCTTCTAATTGTTACATTGTAGACAATGTGAAAATTCTATAATTAAAGGATCTACTTTCTTGTAAGACATTCAATGGATTCGTTGTTTTACATTTTATAGTTGTTGAAATACAATTGTTGTATCGAATATACCTTGTTGGACAGCCTCGCGTCTCCGCCGATAAGCAGCCAACCGGCCCAGTTAGCGGGATGAGCAAAGTGTCTGGTATGCTGAACGGTCTGCATCGCCTCGGCCAATGCACGCGACGCTCTCGCGCCCTGCAACATCGCGCTGTAAAACGCTCGCAATAAGATACTGCCGGCGGTCGGTGGTACCGCCCACATCCCTATGAGCACACACTGCGCGCCCGCGCTCAATAGAGTCCTGGCGAGATTCTGTATGCCGTCCGACGTGGCGTTCGTGCAATCAACGTTGCTCCAACTCTGACCGCTGGACACGACGACCAGACGGGCGGACATCTTCAGCCTAAGTAAATCCGTTTGGCTTATCAGATATTCCGGTCTCTCGGACGGCTCTTCGCACTGATCGGGCGAAAACGCTAGACTGCCGGTACCCCAGAAGATCGGCACTGTCAGGTGAACGCACTCCGCATCCGGTAGAGATCGCAGAACCGCGGATCTAGTAGCTTCCAGTCCTGCAATGAATGAGAGTCAGAGATTGTACGTAACGTGAGCTTGGTACAATTAAGAGGATGCTTAACACTCTGGCTGCTACTAACCAGTCATTGCGCGGGCCTCTAATAATTCGGCGACTATTTCCGACTCGGTCTCGGTGGAAGCGACGCTCTCGGCCCAACCGTACTCCTCGCGAATATCCTCCGGTAGAATGGGATTTCCGGCGACCAGCGCGGCCACAGTAGCACCGCCTTCCAGCACAGGCGTCTTCGATCTCTTTCTGAGCGCTGCAAGAGATGGTACTACCAACAAGGAAAATCTCTCGCACAGATAATCCTCGCCTGGGTTGGACTGCAAAGCCGGGAACGGTGCCAAGTAGAGTGACTTCTCCACCACCATGATTAGCTCCTTTCGCGGCGGCGGTAGCAGATCCTCGAATGGGGCGAGAAGGAGATCGTAGAGCACTTGTATCGGTAATGGTGCCTGCCACGTAGGTCCTTTCACGCCTCGTCCCCAACGGGCGCTTCCGGCGCGAGAACTCACGGAACCGACGCTGAAGAGGCTGCTCAAACTGTAGGAACTGGCGTTCAAGTGATGGCCTCTCGATGGGATTTTCGCAGACTCTTCGATGAGCTCGTTGCTCTCGTCCAAGAGTGCTTCGCGTGCTTGAAGGACCCTCTTTTCCAGACCTACCCCGTCGTCCAACGTGACGGAGTGGAATCGTAACAGTCCGCGTCCTGGCGCTAAGCACCACGCATGCAATTCACATCCCACTTCGCTGAAATCATTTTATTCGATTAATTTCATTTTGTAACAAAATCACGGAACAGGACAAATTATTATGATATCAAGTAATATCTTATCTCGCTTTAAGTTGTAATAATACTCGCTTGCAAAAAGATTATACCTATAGTACAGGATAATTCCGCGTTGTCGATCAATAATCTCAGAATAGTGAGCTGCGTCGTCCAGGGAGTTACTCTTAGATCGCCTGGACCTTTCCGCCCAATTCAAAGCTTCTTCTGCTCGGTTTAGGTTGATTAATACCTTTTGCAACATTCTATACGTCTCCGATAGCAATTCGGTTCGATTGGGCTGACCGCAAGAAAGGGACACGGAAGTTCCGTCTAA